GTATCACATGGGCATGTCTTCAGATTTTAGAGCCTGGAATTTTATAAGGTTGCCAATGAGAAGATATGGGCCTTGTCTTAGTTGTTCTAATTACTCAGCTATCTGGAAGGAGGATACTTAACCCATCAAACAGTTCTACAACTTTCCACTGGGCTTTGACTCCATGGGTGGTAATCACAGAGGTATATCCAGCAATTTATACAAAGTCTCACAAAAGAAAAAAAAAAAGCCTAATTCTCAAACTTTATGTGATAAACAATAGAAAATGTTAAACATTTAGCTTATCTACCTTGTCATCTTGAGGACAACCTGCTTTACCACATTCATCTTTGTGCAACTACCTAAATCATTCCTTACATCTCAGTTTCTCAATCAGAGAAAGAAACTTACAAATAGGATTTTCAAATAGAAACTTCAAAAGGAGAATTTTACTTGAAGTAAAATAAGGAAGAAATTGGAATGATTCAAATCCCAATCATAAGGCAAGCAAAACTGATAACAAAGTTGAAACAATGACATGCTTCAGGAGCACCAGCCAAATTAACCACCTGGGAACAGCACCTACACCTACCCTAACCATGACCTAAAATCCAGAAGCAGTTAAAGAAGAAACTGATAGACTGGAGGGAGTACATGGAAATAAAATACCATAAGCAAAGTCATCAATTCCAATACTGAATACAAGGATTGCCCCACCCCAGCTCTACCAAACCTGCCTTCTGAAGAGATGGCAACGGTTCCCACTTGCCAAACCATCAGTTTTTGCTCAATCTCCTTTCTCCTTGACCAATCTCTCTGGAGACCACCCCGCTGTGTCTGGGTTCTCTCCCCCCTCGGCTTCCATGATCCTTCTTCCCCCTTTCCCCAGTGCTAGGTGCCCTATTATTCTCTAATTCTTCTTCCCCGCTCCCAACATGGCTGTCCCCAAAAGTACGGGCTTGGATCTCCTGCTCACTTCTTTCTAAATCCCTTCCCTTAGGGATCCTAACTATCCTGAATGAAGCCTGCTGCTCTAATCTCTCTCCTGAAATATAACCCTATGACTACCTGCTGAGAGACATTTTTACATGAATATACTGGTATTGGTACTTCGAATTCACATCTTCAACCAAATTCATCTTTCTCCTCCAAACTTGACTTCACTAGTCTTTCGATTGTGCCCTCACATATCACACACACACACACTGTTGGAGCTCCTCTCTGCACTCCCTCAATACCCTGTTCACACCTCAAAAACCCCAGATTACCCTATTATATCCCTAATTCATGGATATGTTTGTCTCTCCAGGTAGATTATAAACTCCTTTAGGGGCAGGAATTGTATCTTAGTTGCTCATGTATCCCTGGTGACTTTTGCAGGTGCTCAATATAATCTGTTAAGAGCAATTAATCAACATGGACCATCTGTTTCAGCCAAACTGGTCCATCCAGTGTCCACGATTGGCATTTTCACAGATCCCGCTTCCAAGAACCGTCCTCTCTCTGCTGCTGCACATATGGAAAAGCCTAACCCATCCTTCACAAGACTCAGCTTAATTTTCACCTGCACCATGAAACTCTGCCAGGTGACCCATTTCCAGACTCCTCACTCATCAGTCTTACAGTGGCAGTTCAGTGAAGCTACACAGGCCTGGTTCAAAACCAGGCTCTGGTTTAAACTAGCTGTGTTACTCTGGGCAAATTCTTAAAGTTTTTTAAAGCTATAAAATGAGGTAAATAATACCTATCATAGAGGATTTTGGAGAAGGGTAAAGGAGAGTAAACCATCCAGAACATAGTTCAAGAAATGTTAACTCCTCCCACCCCACCTCCCTCCCACTTCATTTACCATTGCTGTAGTGCTTAAATTGAAAATGTATGTCATGTCTCCTCAGTTAGATCCCAACAACTTGCAAGACTCTTAAGGGCAGGAGCTGAATCTCATTCATCTGTCTTCTAAGAACCTATCAACGTGTCTTACATAAAGACAGAATAAAAATTGAAAGCAATGAAATTACAGTAAGTTGTGCCAAGATTAGAAATGACAATCGTAAATGTTCGTCCAATTTAGCTGCATAATTATTACATGGCTCCTCTGTAATTTCACTCATGCCAAAGGCTGGTTTCAACAAATGGCAGTGCAAATAAAGACAAATCAATTTGCAGAGTGTACAAATAAGTAATCTTTGATAATAACATTAAAGGTGGCTTAAAATAAATGTTACAGTCGGTAGGAGAAGACTCTCTACACATGTTTTTGTTCCCATGTGCTTTTATGCAATGGCTTCCTTTCACATATTCTTTGATTTAATATAATTGTAACAGATCCCTTCATACCACTTGTTAACAAACTGAAACTAGATTGAGATTTTTATATTTTTCCACCAGGGGACACAATTAAAGGCTAATACTAAAGCAAAACAGTAAGATCAAGATTCAAACCTTGTAATAATCACAGGTCAAATCTTCCAAAAATTCTAATTAAAATGCTTTCTTTCCAAATTGCTTTCATTACTAACAAGCTTTCAACACCCTCTCTGGACTTACCGGAATATTTGTTTCTCTATCGTGATTTATCATAGCTTTCTTTCACTACATATTATCTTCATCCAGGATCAATTCCCATGGTTGGGTTTCATTTTTTCTTTTAACTACTGCCCCATTTGCATGTGCTGACAGGCTGGAGGAGCTGCTATTTGTTGCGTAGTAACCTCCATTCTAACAATCAACTCTTCATTGTGTTGCCAACCACATGCCCTTTCCCTGCAGAAACGATTTCTATAGTTTTCATAAACCAGAATGTGCAGCTATAAACTTAATTGAAAAAAAAAAAACAATTAGGAAGAGTGCCAAATACCCTCCTTTCAAATGTTTATGCTTCCAAGTTTGTTTTGTTGTTTTGGCTTCCCATGTGGAGAAGTTTATGGTAAGGAGTAGAGACATTCATCTATCAGACCAATCCACTAGAGCACAGAATATATATACATATATGCACACTGGTATAGCAGGAAAGAGCCAAAAGCCAGGCATCAAAACACTAAGTTTATAATCTCCGTTCAACCACCTGTTATATATCTTTAGGCAAAATCATAACCTCTCTCAACTTCAACTTCCTCTTCCATAAACTAGAGATAATAACAATAATAACCACCATCCCTACTTCAGCAGCTTATTTCAGAGATGATAAAAGCACAGGATCACAAATGGAACTGTATAATTGTTAAATGTGTGAATAATATATATAAATATACAAAAACACACAGCAATGTCATTGTCTATGGATCAATATAAAATAATTTTATATTAGGCATTAAAGTTCCAATTAAATACTTCATTAGACAAACTGTTATACCAAATTCTATACATGGTATACCATGGAAAGTTTTTTTTATTTTTAATGAGAAACAGAATCTAGCTTGGAAACATATGTTCACAGTCTAGGCCATAATTTTTGGAGTAAGAATTATTCTCTAATCTAGACATATTATCACAAGCAAATTCTGACTCACAATCATAACATATCTAATTTTTCCCTTTCAAGCAAACTTAGTATAAGAAAGTACCAGAGCCCTGACTGGTTTGGCTCAGCAGTTAGAGTGTCGGCCCTCAGACTAAAGAGTTATGGGTTCGATTCCGGTGAAGGGTGCATACCTCGGTTGCAGGTTTGATCCCTGGCCCCGGTCAGGGTCGTGTGGGAGGCAACCAATCGATCACATATTGATGTTTCTTTCCCTCTCTTTCTTTCTCCCCCCCCCCCTTCCTCCCTCCCACTCTATCTAAAAGTCAATGAAAAAAATATCTTCAGGTGAATAATTTTAAAAAATTTTAAAAGCAGCCCTGGCCAGTTTGGCTCAGCGGTTAGAGCATCAGCCTGCGGTCCAGAGAGATCCAGGTTCAGTTCCCGCTAAGGGCTCGTATCTCAGTTGCGGTTTGTCCCTGGCTTTGGTTGGGTCGTGGGGGTGGCAGCCACTCGATGTGTACCTTTCATGTTGATGTTTCTCTCTCTCTCTCTCTCTCTCTCTCTCTCTCTCTCTCTCTCTCTCTCGATGTTTCTCTCTCCCTCTCTTCCTCTCTCTCCCTCCCACTCTATCTGAACAAGAAATGAAAAAATGTCCTCAGGTTAGGATAAAAAAAAAATTTTTAAAGCAAGTACTGGAGGTTAGTTCTTCATATCTTGCGCTAAGATTATGAAGACCATGTCTTCACATAAGCTTTATTTATTTAAAAGTGAAAATAAATAAATATAAAGGACAATTTCATTATTTTAGTTTTTAATGTTAAAAAAGAGTAGCACCATTAAATTAGAAGATTCCTAAATCATTACGCATTTCTGATTTCCTAGGCAAGATATCAATATACTTTCATTCTCCAAATAAAAGATTCCCTAAACACACACACACGCACACACACACAATTTCCTAACTATGCTTTTATGGCTTTAGCTTTTTATAAGTGGCAATTTTTGAATGCTAATTAAATTGTTTAGCATATGTGTTTTATTTATTTATTTTTTTAGTTGATTACAGTTTTCTACAAGATCTCTATTATAGCATGATTCTGGCACTTTATGCTATTTGTTGTTCCAATTAATTAATACTGTTTAAAACATGAATTTGAAAAATCTTATTTTAACCATAACTTTGCAGCTAAAATTCTTTTTCCAAACTTTGCAAACATTCTGTGCAACCTGAATTAGTGCTGAGATCAAACTGGAGTTTAACAGTTGCTCAATGTTCTTCAAAAGGTGAAAAAGCATATGTTTATCTGCACTACACCCATTTTCAATTTCAACACAGCAAACCTCTCATTTGTTCTTAAGGCAAATTTTAAACCATACATATTGGGATTGGTTATTACTGAAGATAATTTATGCAATCATGAGCCAAAGATGCTAAGTTGGCAAGAAGAAAACCATGCAAGTAAGCAAACTCTACCACATGTGAGACACACCTTCTCAGGATATAAAAGCTTGTCACTGTCCTTGGTAGCAGTAGGCACGCCCTGGGCTAAAGAGCATCACCATGTCTGTTCGATACAGCTCAAGCAAGCAATACTCTTCCTCCCGCAGTGGAGGAGGAGGTGGGGGAGGATCCGTCAAAATTTCGAGCAGCAAAGGCTCCCTTGGTGGAGGATATAGCTCAGGGGGGGGTTTCAGTGGTGGCTCTTTTAGTCGTGGGAGCTCTGGTGGAGGCTGCTTAGGAGGCTCATCAGGTGGCTATGGAGGAGGACTAGGAGGTGGGTATGGTGGAGGTAGCTTTGGTGGAAGTTATGGAGTTAGCAGCTGTGGGGGCTTTGGAGGAGGCAGTTTCGGAGGAGGCAGTTTCGGAGGAGGCAGTTTCGGAGGAGGCGGCTTTGGTGGGGGCTTCGGTGGAGGAAGCTTTGGAGGAGGCTTTGGTGGTGGATTTGGAGATGGTGGCCTTCTCTCTGGAAATGAAAAAGTAACCATGCAAAATCTGAATGACCGCCTGGCTTCCTACTTGGACAAAGTTCGGGCTCTTGAAGAATCAAACTATGAGCTAGAAGGCAAAATCAAGGAATGGTATGAAAAGTATGGCAACTCAAGCCAGCGAGAGCCTCGTGACTACAGCAAATACTACCAAACCATCGAAGATTTTAAACAACAGGTAAGGGGCATTTTAAAATTCAACCTTAAGCCTATTTTTCATCCATGTAATTCAGACAGATCAATTTTAAATTAACCATGATGTAGCTTTCACTGTGTTTGCCTATGTTACCTTCTTGCTTCCAAAACTCAGTACTTGTAAGGGCATAGTCATTTCGATCTTCATCCAATGTGTGTGTTATGTGTCTTATAGGATGGTGGATTACTGAGAATATTTCTGGTTTTAATGAGTGTATAATGAGTCCATAGTTATAATACACTAGATCATTTACAAATATGAAAACTTAAAGGACTGTTAAATGAGTCAGAACAAAATATTATTCAGATTGATAGCAAAAAAAAAAAAAAATACTCATTACCCACATTGCAAGAAACATGAACTCTCCAGTATGAAAATGAGATAATGCTTGCCTCTAGGGATCTGTAAATTATACCTATAGTATACTAGCTTGGAGTGTATTCATTTAGAATATATATATAACAAATTAAACCAAATACAGGTATGAGTCAGTTAAAAGTTGGCTTAAATACATGGATATCACACAGAATAAGAGGGGGACACACATGCAGGAACACAGCTATATAATTCATCAGTTTTCAGGAAGAGCTGATATAGAAACAGAAGCATATAGAACCTTCAAGAGAACAAATAACTCAAATTTAAGTGTAAGGATAAGCCTACGATATTTCATACTTAAAATAAAAAATTCCCCCCAAATTTTATAAGAGATCAACATAAAAATGCAGTTCACCTATGCCACTATAAAAGCCATATCTATATCTGATTTCTTTACCTCTTCCCACAGATCCTTAATCTAACAACTGATAATGCCAATGTCCTGCTTCAGATCGACAATGCCAGGCTGGCAGCTGATGACTTCAGGCTGAAGTAAGCTAAGTGAATGGGGTACAATACTGTCACAACAAATGCATGAGTTGTTTTTAACAATGACTTTGGATGTTCACAACTGCACTTACATATATTTTCCTGAATTCATTTAAAGTTAAACAGTATTGGAGCTGTCAGGGAATACTGACATTACCTTTTAGAGCAACAATTCAAAGAAGAAAATGCATTTTAAAGTAACTGCTAAGCCTCTTTGCATTAAACTACTAATATCCCTATGTGAATTAGTATATGATAAATGTTGCCATATGAAGTCAACTCTATATTAGCTTTTTAAATAGTCTCTGCCCAGGTACAACTTCCTTAGATGTTATAGCCAGTAACTGTCCCATGCTTGTTTCAGGTATGAGAATGAAGTAGCCCTGCGCCAGAGCGTGGATGCTGACATCAACGGCCTGCGCCGGGTGCTGGATGAGCTGACCCTGACCAAGGCCGACCTGGAGATGCAGATCGAGAGCCTGACTGAAGAGCTGGCCTACCTAAGGAAGAACCATGAAGAGGTGATACAAAAAGTTATATGTACTCCCCAAGCCAAAATATTGCTCATTTTGGTCACAGTGCAGTCATTAAATTTTTCTGTTCCTCAAACAGGAAATGAAAGATCTTCAAAATGTGTCCACTGGTGATGTGAACGTGGAAATGAATGCTGCCCCAGGTGTTGATCTGACTCAACTTCTGAATAACATGAGAAGCCAGTATGAACAACTTGCTGAGCAGAACCGCAAAGATGCGGAAGCCTGGTTCAATGAAAAGGTAATCAACCTTCCTTCATGGGGAAACCAGTAAAGGTTTGGTTATCATTCCCGATTTTTCTCATCTATTCCTTTTTTTTTTTTACTACTCTAGAGCAAGGAACTGACTACAGAAATCGATAATAACATTGAACAAATGTCCAGCCAAAAAACCGAGATTACTGAATTGAGACGCACTGTTCAAGGTCTGGAGATCGAACTACAGTCCCAACTAGCCCTGGTATGTTAACACGTCTCTCACACAAACTTCTGTGCTCATGCAAAAATATACAACAGAAAAGGCAGAGTTGGAGTAAGAAAGCAGAAACACAAATCAGAGCTCTTGTTAATGGGAGAAAGCATTACTGGCATTGATCTACAAGTGTTGCCATTAAATGCAAAACACAAATTTTATTCATTTTCCTTATGCTTCTGTATGATGTCTTGTTAAATACGTTTCACTGTACTCAACTGAACTAAGGGGCCGGTAAGTCACAATATAGCCTCTCCTCTTTTCAGAAACAATCCCTGGAAGCCTCCCTGGCCGAAACAGAAGGTCGCTACTGCGTGCAGCTCTCCCAGATCCAGGCCCAGATCTCCTCTCTGGAGGAACAACTACAGCAGATCCGCGCTGAAACCGAGTGCCAGAATGCCGAGTACCAACAACTCCTGGACATTAAGATTCGGCTGGAGAATGAAATCCAAACCTACCGCAGCCTGCTAGAAGGAGAGGGAGGGTAAATTAATACAATTTTTTTAAAAACTACCCCCGTTGCTTTCATTCAATATCCCAGACCGCAAGGCTCTCCCCAAACCTCGAAGTGCCAGAGAATGGAGATGGGCGCGAGGGGAGGGAGAATGCAGAAAAAGGCGTGTGCAACCAGCCTCAGTTTTGGCGGGGTTGATTTCCCCTCAAAACACGTTTTATTGTCTAAAGTAACAAGCTGGAGTGCGACCCACCGCCCTCCAAAGTTAGAATTAACTGAACGTGGCCGGCGGGTGTGGCTCAGCGGACCGAGCGTGTCCCAGGCGGGGCACAAGCCCGGGCTGCAGGCTCGACCAGCAGGGGGCGCGCAGGAGGCAGCCAGTCGAGGTTCTCTCTCCCTCTCCCTTCCTCCTTTTCTAAAAAAAAAAAAAACTCAATAAAACTGCCATTTTTTTTTCAAAGTAATGTATAGAATTAACTGAATGTGACGTTTACTCCCTGAAGTTCTGGCGGTGGCGGCTACAAAGGAGGGCGAGGCGGCGGCGGCGGTGGCTTCGGCGGAAGTTCTGGCGGCGGCTACGGAGGCAGTTCCGGCGGCGGCGGCGGCAGCTACGGCGGCAGTTCCGGCGGCGGCGGCGGCGGCAGCTACGGCGGCAGTTCCGGCGGCGGCGGCGGCAGCTACGGCGGCAGTTCCGGCGGCGGCGGCGGCGGCAGCTACGGCGGCAGTTCCGGCGGCGGCGGCGGCGGCAGCTACGGCGGCAGTTCCGGCGGCGGCGGCGGCGGCTACGGCGGCAGCTCCGGCGGCGGCATCAAGTCCTCCGGGTCCACTGGCGAGTCCTCATCTAAGGGATCAAGGTCAGCAGAAACTAGCTGGGGTAATAAGAATTCGTTTTAACTTTCTAAAACCTTCAAGTCTTGGGGTTCCCACTTGCAATTTTTAATAAATCACATTCTTGACACCGTGCTTGAAGGGAGAATGGCATAGTCTGGCATGCTATAGCTTAAACAGTGCTCGGGGGTTTGTTTTCTTTTTAAGCCACTCCAAAAAGTTAAATTTTCTTTTTTAAATGTAGTGCATCTTTCTTGTAGAAATGTTGCCTGTTGATTGCATGGTCTAAATTCCGCTTTGTCTTTTGTTGGTTTTGTTTTTTCGTGATTCTCACACAGACACTAATAAAACCAGAGTGATCAAGACGATTATTGAAGAAGTGGCACCTGATGGTAGAGTCCTTTCTTCTAAGGTTGAATCAGAAACCAAGAAACACTACTACTAAGCCACACAAGAGGAAGGAGTCTCCCTTCACACAGACCATTTTGTACGGAGCCTTGGAAAACGGAATCTCCAAGAAAACAACACTTCAGTCTTAGTGGTCTATGAAAATGGGTTCCCTCTTTGAAAATACGGTGTCTAAACGGTGTTCTGTGGTTTCTGTATTTCTTCTTCTCACTTTACCAGAAAGTGTTCTTTAAAGGGAAAAAAAAAAAGTTCTATCCTCATTTACTAATGAATTCAATAAACTTTCTTACTGATGCAAACTATTTTACTTGGTCAGAATGGTCTTTATTTAAATTAGATAATATTTTTAACCTTAAACATTAGTACACTATAGCACTTGAAGATTGATTTATACATAAATTTCGAAGACAATTATTGTCATGATTTCTCTGAGTACATTTTTTTTATTGTTGAAAGTATTAGTGATGGCTCCCTTTTTTCCCCATTGACCCCCCCCCCCACTCCCACACCCCCTCCTGCTTTCCCCCACCTGATGTCTATGGCCATTGGTTATGCATATATGCATATATCTCTGAGTAGATTTTTTAATCTTGTGGGTATGTTGAACCAAGGTCAGTAACCTCAGTGAGTAAAATGTCCATGAGTCTCCAATTTTATTGTTTCTTAAAGAAACACAATATGTAGAAAGCTCCAGTTCTCTCTCTTCAAATTATTTTAAGTCTGGGAATTCTGAAATATCTCAACTAAGACCCCAAAAATAAAGTTAATTGGAAATTTCACATTTTATGATTACTTGACTTCTTACACTTACCTTCCAACATTTTCTTCCCATTACTGTACTACTTCTGCCCAATTGCTATGTGGCATAAGAGATATTTTCCACTGTTTTCTAGCACAGTGAAATCATATCAAACAAAAGTATGTGGTGTGGCCCTCGCCGGTTTGGCTCAGCGGTTAGAGCGTCGGCCTGCGGTCCAGAGAGACCCGGGTTCGGTTCCCGCTAAGGGCACGTACCTCGGTTGCAGTTTGTCCCCGGCCCTGGTTGGTCGTGCGGGTGGCGACCACTCGATGTGTCCCTTCACATCGATGTTTCTCTCTCTCTCTCTCTTCCTCTCCCTCCCGCTCTGTCTGAACAAAAGATGCAAAAATGTCCTCTGGTGAGGATAAAAAAAAAAAAAAAAAAGTACGTGGTGTGTATCAGATGAACAGGAGAAGCACTGTCAAGCCATGGTGATGGTAATTTGACCAAAAGGACAACTCCAGGTTTTTGCCTGCCTGGTGATCAGTACTAAAAATCTAGTAATTGTAGGGTCAACCCCATCGCCACATCTAAGCCAATAAGAACCCAAATATATTACATCATACTCTGCTAGTACATGGGGTGGGTGAGGGATGGAGTTATACTATGCCCCTAAGACTACTTACATTCACTGGTGGGTTCCTGGGTTACCCATGTCTACCAAGTAGCATTCCTCAGTATCCTTCCTGATTTGGGCTTGTTTTCCCCAGGACCTGAGCCCTGGTCCCCAAGCCATTTGCTTGGGACTCCTGCTGGGTAAACAAACCCTACCCTCTGTACCCCAAATTTCTGACTGAAGCCCTATTTCAATGTGAATAAAATGCCCTATCGTCAAATTTCCATGACCTGCCTGGCACCAAATATTACCATTGTTCATAGACTCTCCACCTTAGTCCATATGTCCTGTTATGTATGAACCAGCCACTCTTTGGGGGTGAGGGGGCAGTCTTCCAAGATTCACTGTTGAGTCCCAACATGCCACCTGTTCATGGGTAAGGACTCTTAGAGCAAGTATTGTGTATATATTGACTGCTGTTCAAAAATGCTATATTTTAAATATTTATTATCTAACCAAGTTAACCAAGTCTTTGGGACCTAGAGTATTGTTCATTATCTGAGATGACCATTCCCCTTATTCTAAAGAGATAAGTGTTCTCATATTCAACAATACTGACTTGAGACAAATACAAATATGTTACTACAAGATAGTTGTTTGTTACTAAGCTTTGTCTCTTCTTCTACCCATTCATAAGCCAGGATCTCAGCTGGTCGGAGTTCTTTAACTGATTTGGTGGTGAGCCAAACCTTCATTCCTGAAAGGTCTGAATCGTGGTGGTCCTGTTGTCTTACCCTTTCAATCTTCCAATATCTCCTTAAACAAGTATTTATATTAAATTATCTCTGATAAACCCTGGCTGGGTAGCTCAGTTGGTTAGAGCATCATCCTGATACTCCAAAGTTTCAAGTTTGATCTTCAATCAGGGCACATACAGGAAGAATCAACAGGTGAATGAGTGGGACAATGAATTGATGTATCTATCTCTATCTCTTTATCTAAAACCAATTTTTAGAATTTAGAAAGTAAATTCTCTCTAATAAAGAACTTTCTTGATGGATATTAACTAAACTTATTGTGGTAATTATAATGTAATATACATATGTCAAATAATTATGCTGTACACTTTATACAGTGCTGTATGTCAATTATATCTCAATAAAACAAAAACAAAAAAACACTACTTTTTGACTGTACTCTGAAACTACAGTTTAATAAAGACAGTCTGTCTACACAGACAATTTTATTTAACAAGGACATTGGTATTACAGTAAAATAAAATAATGTTGCCCTGGCCAGTTTAGCTCAGCAGTTAGAGTATCAGCCCATGGACCAAAGGGTCTCAGGTTCGATTCCCGGTCAAGGGCACACACCTGTGTTGCAGGTTCAATCCCCAGCCCCGGTCAGGGTTATGTGGAAAGCAGCCAATCGATGTGTCTCTCTCCCCCCTCCTCCCTTTCACTCCATCTAAAATAATGGGAAAATATCCCTGGGTGAGGATTAACCAAAAAAAAAGTTTTAACTGTACAGGTCACTATTTCTATTACTTAGATTTATCATGTAGTTACTAATCAAAAAATCCTGTAAATGTCCTTACAGATTCTAAAGTTATTACAGAGATCTGCTATTTAAACAGGACAGTGTCCAATGGGACTAGCAGAGCCAATTTGGGGCACTCATGTGGAATCCTACTAAACAGCGAAAGCTTGTTGCTCCAAAGGTTTTGCCTTAAGCTGTTATAGGCCTTAAAGCTTTGCACCCTGACTTTGATGTTCATGATGACTTGATACTTTGGGCGTGGAGAAGTACCTTTGTTATAGTCAGCTTTATAGGGAGAATAGCTTGAGTGAGCTTAACTAAATAAGGTCCATCCAATATTTACCACCCAGATTGCATCTTGAGAGTGGGAATTAGGGAAATAACTATTTTTATGGTTATAAGCATGCATTTCAATATCATGATTCCTGGACTTCATATTCTGGCACTGGTATCTACAGGTCATAGAACTTTTGGACAAGTTACTTAAACTCTTCTGAGTCTCAGCTTTCTTTTCTATACAATAGGGATAATAATTACCTCATATGAGAATATCATGGGGATAAAATGAGTTAATACCTATAAAGCCCTTAGAAAAATGTCCACTATCGAGCAGGTACTGAAGGAACAGTATTATGGTCGTCTTCAAAAGAATAGGCTTATTTGTTAAATAACCGATTTTTCCCAAAGATGAATGTGAGCATCACAATACGGTGTTAGAGGAGGTGATCATTAATGTGGTTTGCCGGGCAGCGGAGAGGACGGTTAGGTTGCTATCCTGACTGCAAAACTAAATTCCAAACAGCAGCAATACTGGTGAGCGTGTGTTACAAAGGATATGACTAAACTAGTCCTGTGAACCTGATGCCCAATGATATATAGCAAGAGGTTTGTGAAAATAAGTGAGGAGGACTCGATGATTGCCCCAAAGGTCTGAGATAGTTGGCCATCCCTAAACCCGCAGCTGTGGTCACCCTGATCATGGTCACCTGTCCAAGCTGTGTCACTGTGTGATAAAGAGAAACAAAGTTATCCCAAAAGAAATGAATCAGTCTCAAAAACAGGTATAAGGATGTTTCTTTCTCTTTTTTTTAAGGATACTTTTGAATTAGTTGTCCCACAGAAAGCCATGTCAAAGAAAGAAGGACTCTGAGTCGTTACATTGATTCTCAGTGTCTCTAGATAAAAACCCAACACCATCACGTCTCAGCACTAAGAGATCTTTGTAGCCCAATGCCAGTTAGAAAAGGAAGGAATTATTGTTAATTGGTATAAATATTGGATGTGACCTTGGAAAAGGAAGGATTTGAGTAGTGTTCTGGAAACAGCTTTGTCTTTCGGGATTTTAACAAGGAAAAACATCACACACTTAAGTCTTTAATTCACTTTCCCTATTCAGAATAAGTTACATCAGGAGAAATGCCTCAAAAGCATTTTGATGCTTCAAAGACTAGCTGACTATGACCAAACTAATGACCTCTTTGGAAGAAGAACTCTCGTTAAAAGTTTTGATCTTTACAGGTTCTGTAAGGTTTTGTCAAGTAAGAAATTTGATGGTAAGACTAGAAAACAAAATGGTACCAAAAGGCATCTCGATAGATTGAACAAGAGTTGTTGTAAAAATAAAAGCAAGTTGGTTATTTCCAAAAAGCACGTGAAAAGATGTTCAACATCACAATCATTAGGGAAATGCCAGTCAAACATTAGGATAACTACTATCAACAAAATAGGAAGACTTGGCTTACGGGGGTGAACACACAAGACAATATACAGATGATGTATTATAGAATTGTAGCCTGAAAACTAGATAATTTTATTAACCAATGTCACCCCAATAAATTCCATTTAAAAATAACAAAAAATAGAAAATAGCAAGTATTGGCAAGGATGTGAAGAAATTGAAACTCTTGTTCCCAGTTGGTGGGAATGTAAAATGGTACAGCTGCTATGGAAAACAGTATGATGTTTCCTCAAAAATATTAAAAATAGAATTACCATATGATTTAACAATAGCACTTCTGGGTCCAAAAGAATTGAAGTTGGGGCCATGTTTACAGCAACATTATTCACAAAGAGCTTGGGAGGCAACTATTTTCTTCCCCCTTTGTATTCCCTACTACTAGTACAATGCATAGTAAGTACTCCTTAAAATGTCCTTTATGTTATTATGAGTTTTATAAAAACACGTAAGTTGTTATAAGAAACATCAGAGGAAAGAAACCTTTCTTCCTGATTCCCAGATTAATTGTAAGGTTCAAATGAAATAACACACAAGAATCATTTTTGGAAGCTGTAAAGCACCATATAAATGCAAGGAAATCTTGTCTTTGTGCTCTGGCATCTTGAAAAGATCAATATTGAGGTTGCTTCTGATCAAGCTTCTAGTAATCTCTAGTTAAGGCTAAAACAGA